GCCCCACCTTACCTCTCTGAGCTTCTGCATCCTTACTCACCCCCCAGGTCTCTCAGGTCAGCTGACAAGCTGCTCCTGGAGGTACCCAGGTCCAAGAGGGGGCGGGGCCTTCTCTATTGTTGCTCCTAATCTGTGGAACAATCTTGCCCAGCACATTAGAGAGGCCCCTTCACTGTCCACTTTTAAAACACGTCTTAAAACCCATTTTTACTCTTTGGCATATGACACAGCATGACCCTGATTTTGTCGTTTTAATGTAATGTGCTCATTTTATTGTTTTAAATGTCATTTTAATTATCATCTTATTTTATTTTTACCTTTATTTTATTTTAATTTTTTTTTTTACTTATTCAATGTATCATTTCTGTGTGACGTGTACAGCACTTTGTGTTTAGCTGGGAGTCGTTCTGAAATTGCTGTATAAATAAATGTTTGCTTGCTTCTAATTGTTTGCAGTTGTAAAAACAAAACACCAGCTATTCTACTTCATCATGTTCAGACACAGGGATTCAGCTCGCTGTGATCTCTGCTACAGTGGATGGATGCCATTTCTGTTCATCACCAGCCTATTTTTTAGGTCTCAACTCGTCATATTTCTTTTAACCTCAGTCATTCACAGCTCTGGTTTGACACTTTGTAGCAACATGGCTGCTTTTTGATGTTGCCAAATTGTTGTTGAACATCACCAGCAAGTCCTGTTATCATCTTATTGAATGAAAACTTTATGTTTAAAGAATCACATGCACATGAGTCAAACCGTTACTAACTCTTCTGTTAGCTTAGCTTTTTGTTTCCAGTGGCGCCCAACTTGACCACACCCCCTGTCTTCATGCCAAAGGAGGTAATTACACATGTATAACTTGTTATGTCACGGAGCTAGCTGAGGTGTAGTCCACATGGTGTAATGAAACTATAAATGTTACAACTTGTCTGTCTTGGACCCAGACCAGTTAGTCTCGTTCCTTCAGTGTGTCTTGTGTAACTGAGTGGATGTCTCATGTTGTGACCCAGGTCTTGGAACTCGTCTGCACACTCCACTCTTTGTGGTGGTGCGATGGGTGCTGCCACAGACTCTGTGGTGCTCCGGGGCGTTGACACGCTGGCCCCGGGCCGGCCTTCTCCCCACTATGACGGGTTGTGGGGTATAAAGGGAGCCTACTGAACCAGTCGTTCACTGTACTCTACCTCCCAGTCTTACCTGTCCCAGCCCTCCCTCCTACCCATGCCTTCATGCAACACGTCACTCACACACTTATGGTTTTGACGGGGTTTCGTGCTTCACATGGGGGTGTATGTAAGGCCACTCGTGGGTTTTCTGGCTGTTCTGCACAATGGCCCCCACTTCCTTTTTTAATTACACTCGAGCCATCATGGTTTCCAACACACACACACACACACACACACACACACACACACAAATACAAATTGAGGTAACCGTGGTACTATAGTACTGTTCTCCTTGTAATTACAGCTCTTTATGGGGCATTAACTGCGGGGCCATTAGATTTGTCTGACAGATACAGAAATAACAGGAAATAACAAAAAGGTTCATTTCTTACAGGCAATACTACATTTGTTAAACAAGAGTCGTGCACAAAGAGTAAACCACTAAGAAAGACATAGTGATTGTCTTTTCAATATACTTTAAATCAATCAATATGAATTCAGAAATATGACAAACATGAACATGTGCAGTAGTAATAAGGCCCACAAATAGGCCTAATAAAGCACATTGTTGTAAAATGCAATGTGAATGCTGTGAATGCCTGAAATGCTTAAAAATATTTGAAATATTCAAAGCTGAACTCGCTGAATGACCTGATGTTATCAAAATATCAGCCAGCTTAACAGTGAAAAGCAAAGTATCAAAATGGAAAATGTGCTAAACAAAACTAAAAGGCACAAAAACTGAGAACTAACTACAGATCATCAAAACGAAGAAGAGCTGAAACAACAAGAGAGAAACAAATTCAGTGTGAATTCATTTATTAACAGGAACACAGTGGAAAGTAATCATATTATTTGGATTGTCGAACTGATTGATGGTAGGAACTACTTCTTGTATCACCTCTCAAGCATAATGAATGTTTTTGTGTGCACAGTCAGAGGCATGTACCCTACTAATCGCACAATTACAAGCTTAGCAGATAACCTCAGGTTTAATCATGGGTTTCAATGTCAAGGTGAAGGTAAAACAGTGCATCTAAGCCCTGTGGCTTACTGAGCTTACACAACATTTGCAAGATTACTTACTATTTAATTTCTGTTTTTTTAATTGTTGCTCTCACACCGCCACCAGGGCTGCAGCTTCATTATGTCTGACTCCGCTCATGTCTTAATGATAGACCTTTTATACTAAGAAGCACAGCAAGCCAACATTACAGGGCATATAACACCCAGGCCACAGACTGCAGGTGTTGTTCCTGAGATATGCTGAAGCCACTCGCCTAGCTTGGGTCCACCAAGTGCAACAGTGCAATTCTCCTGTTACCTTCATCCTCCACATCTTTCCAAGTTCTTCTTTCAACCCATGGTACTTCTCAAGCTTCTCATGTTCCTTCTTCCTGATGTTGCTGTCATTTGGTATAGTTGCATCACTATGGCTACTACTGTTTGCTTGGTTAGCCATCACCAGTTTGCCCGTATCTGGAAGTCCCACCGGATCTTAACTCGGTCATTCTTGACAATCCTGTCACGTTTTTTACCTCGGGACATCCAGGCTACACTCAACGCAGATGTTCCTGTACTCTATGCCAGCCACTTGGTTATGGCATACCACGTATGCCCTGGGTGCCTGCATCTTGCCTCCGCCTGTTTTGTTCTGGATTGTCTCAGGGGCATCTCTGCACAGCCTGCACCAAGGCTCTTACCTGGTGACTACCTATCCTCTCTTCACTACTATCCAACTCGACTTCTCCAATCCAGATGACATTCCAATGTCGCTGACCCTAGAATCAATCAATCTCATTCACTCTTGGCTTACAGATCGGTGTTAAGCCATCTAGAGGTGATCTTACTGAGGGGGTTCAGGCAGAACAGCAATGGAGCCAGAGCATCTCCTAGGTAAATCCCACACTTCATGGTGACTTTTGTGCAACTGGCTTCAAACTGGCCTCTAGTGTTGTTCACCACATTCCAGACTCCTGCCAGAGAGTATGCCATGGATGGTTCGGTGGAGCTGGTTCATCCTCCTGGCTTCCATCTTTTCTATCTCTTCAAGTTGATCTTAAAACCAAGCATCTCCCTGATCACAGCAGCCATGGTGGGTTAGCTGCTTGGTTGTGGTGATGGGCACAAGTAGGGATTGTCCACAATGTTGCATTCACATCTTCTTGTCATCCAGCTTTGCCATGATCCCATCTTTCAGGTCAGTCTTTTTTTGTCAGAGTGTGTGTGTGTGTGTGTGTGTGTGTGCGCGCGCGCAGCAGGGAGAGAGCACCAAAGTGAAAAAGACAGCAGGTGACAGCTGAGCACCTGCTTTTTATAAATAAACATCAAGTGTCTTTATTAAGCCACTAAGCAGCAATAAATGAGTCCAAATAACACAGGAAACAAAATGGAAGTGAAATAAAGAGAAATGTTTGACATGTATCACATTCAGAAACAAAGACGGTCTCCTTATATTTCCATGGACTACACAGCAGAGCAGGATTCAGTGTCTATGTCTATAAATCAGAAGAATATTAAGACTCGATGAAAGAAAACATTTAATTAAAAAATTAATCAGTGCATCATCATCATCATCATCATGTTGATTATGACATGACTGCTAGTTCAGCATCTATTCAATTAAGACTAAATCACCTTCTGCAAACTGAGGCTCCTATGTTAGTGCCACACATGAAGCAACCATCAAGTGTTACAACAATAGGCTGAACGTGGCGCACACACACACACACACACACACACACACACACACACACACCACCCTCACACACACACACACGACTCAACAAGTTTTGGGGGGTATCTGCATTTTTTCGATGTTTGTCCTCATACATGTAGCAGTTGTGCTCACATGAGCTGCAAATGCTGCCAGGTTGAGAGAAGGAAGCCAGAATTTGGGGAGCTTCATTTTTTTGACAGCAGGTCAGGACTGAACTGATCTTGAGGTTTACCAATTTTCTCTGACATCGTTGGCTAAAGGCCGTACTGGAAGTGCATATCTGGCCATAAAACCAAAAGCACTGGACATCCAGACACCCACAAACACAAGGCACAAGATGAAACTGGCTGCAGTATATAAGTACAGCTTTCTTAGGCATTCAAATTCCCATTCAAATGCAAACAAGACACAAAGAAGAGCACTAAAGAATTTGATGAAAAACCAGACATACTCGTGGACTGAAACATGTGGTCCATAACAGACAAAGAACATCAGTTTCCTAAAACTGCCTCAACCAGCACATCTCTGCACCGGCTTCATCTGCAAACAAGAAGGAAATCTGCTGTTATGAAACCGGACAAGAGGCCTCAATTAGAAAATACAAAACGAAATATAAAACAAAATACTAACAGAAAATTTATTGTAAGATAATTGCAGGATATTGCCATGTTGTCAGAAGAAAGCCCTGTTTCTATCAGCAGAACCAGGTTCCTTTAGAGTTTCCACTGCAGGGATTAGGGCTGACATTTAGTTTTTTACCCCTTAAAATCCACTTACAAAGACTCTAGAGAGATGCTGGTAATGCTTAACATTGACATCTTGTGTTCATTACTCTTCAGTATTTCACTCCTCTGTAGCTCCTTTGTTATTGGACAGAAGTTTTTACTGTTTGCAATCAATTTGTTGATCAATTTGTTGGCAGGCAAATGAGGTGAGGGGTGATGTTTACCAAAAAATATTACTCTGAAAACAGTTTCACTGCGGTCCTAAAGTACGTGTCCAACCTCCCACACAAAAGAGTCCTGTGAAGGCTCTTTAATGCCCCTGTTCACAGTGGCCTCTGCAGCTCAGCACTGACCAGTCGACGCAGAGAGCAGTGATCACGACAGCAGAACATGGTTGCTCATCTTTATTGCATTCCAGTAGACTGACTGGCTCCAGACTGCAGTGGAAACACAGACAAACTCCAATCTAAAGGAACCTTTAAGACCCTGAAAAACATTTCCTGGGACAAAAAGTTCTGCAGGCTTTGATGAAACATGACTGAGTGAATCTCTTCACTCCAGCTCAGTCATCCTTCATCATCTATGTGCAGTGTCAGGGAAACACCTTCATGGCCCGAGTTCAGTTTATCATCCATACAGAATGTAGCAAAAAGATGCTGGAGATAATTTAGAAATGGTGCGATCAGTTTATCCAGCAGAGCAGCTCTGATTCTATTCAATACTTACATTCTGTAGGTAGATAAATACAAATATTGGTGGTTTTATTGATATCTGAATTTTTGACTCCAATCAAAAACAACAAAACAACAGTAAGAGTCAGGCTCAGGTGACCCTGTGGTTCATCGTGCTAGCCTCTGCTACAAAGGCTTAGTTACTTTGCTCTTACACTATAAAGAGACTGAGAGCAAGTTCTCCTCCTGCCATCTTTCACATCAACACTTTCCATCTCTTTACATGGATGAAACAGAGTGCAGCACTAAGGAGGCCGTAGCAGAGTCCCAGTCTGTTTGAGAAAGAGTGAGCGAGGCGTGTCCACACAGAACATGTGACTATATATTACACAATAAATGATACATGATGAAGCAAAGTCAGACCCGGGTGCTCGAGTTAAAAACTTTGGGGGAAATGTAACCGTTCCAACACACAGACAGAGAAAGCAGACTCTGGTCGACACAGTCAGTGGGGTCTGCTTCCTGCTGGCTCACAGCACACGTCTGCATGTTTAGTACACTGGCTGACTGAGGCGAAAGAACGCCGACTCCTCAAACAAGAGTTACATAATAAAAACATTCACCTTGCTTTTGTCTAAACACACTATAAAAAAGTGGCTCAGAAGAGGAAGGAAACAGATGAAGGAGAGGGGCTCCCTGATTGGGCTTTCCCTAGACCATCCATCCATCCTAGACCCTCCTCAGGAATAACAACGATGCGTCACAGTTAGACTGCTAGCATCCTACAGAGTTCAGGTCATCCACAGTGTGTAGCGTAGTGAGTGTGTACAGAGCGAGTGAAGTTTGGGCTGAGATCAGTAAAAACAGACGGAGCCCAAGGACAAATGCATTTGGCCAAATGGCTTTAATTTTTGTAACTCGTGCCATCACTACTGTGTGTGTGTGTTTCGTAGCAATAACCTCACTTGAATTTGAACCTAATCTTTTATCTCCGTGTCATTTTAAATTAATGCTAATCTCATTTCCTTCTGCCTCCACGGCAAAAGATAAAATGGTCTCAGTGTGTTTCCTGGTTGCTTTCCTCTCTGTCTAATCAAACAGGTCTGAATTAACCCTCATACAGATTCAATCTGACTTTGCAGTTTAGACCTCTGTCCGAGCAGGTCACAGGGGGAAAGTCGGGAGTGGGAGTGGGCTATATGGTGGGGTGTGAGTTCTACGGGTGATGGGAGGGAACAGAGTAGAGAAATCACTGAGATGGTTGTAGGTCCTTTAACAGCAGCCCCCTCCAGACTGCCTGACGGGGGTGCTATCGATTTTTAAGTTGGGCTTGTCCCCGCCGGCTGTGGCCCCAGGGCCCATGCGTTTCTTGATCTCGGCTGCCATGGTCATGAAAGCCTGCTCTACGTTTGTGGCATTCTTGGCACTGGTCTCCAGAAAGGGGATCACCAAAGAGTCAGCAAACTCCTGAAAAGATAAGAAGAAAATTCAAGTGCAAACCGTCAGAAATCTGCAGTCAGAATATTTCAGCCCATTAGGTGTCTGTGTGGGTTCTCGGTCATCCAGGTCCGGTAGTCTAAGGAGTTTAGAAAGAAAGTTTCTTTAAGTTTCTTGAAGATGTTTCACCTCTCATCTGAGAAGCTTCTCCAGTTCGAAAACCAAATGTTGGAGAGTCCCAGGTGTTTAATCCCTGGTGGGAGTTGTCCCGTAAAACGGTAGTTGACCCACTCTTGATCAGGGTCACCCTTTCAAGTGAGATCACCGGATGCAAGATGTGAGTGGCAGTTGAGGCAGCACGATCTCAAAAATGCATTTAATCCCATCTTCCACTAGAGATTAAATACCTGGGACTCGCCAACATTTGGTTTAAGAACTGAAGACGTTTTCTAAGCTCCTTAGACGATCCCCGACACTACTCAGTGCAGCACTCTGATCAACTGAAGGCTTTTGAGGGAGGTTTTAAGAGAACAGGGTGACAGTGATTTACAACAGTCCAACAATAACATGAACTAGTTTTACATCCATCCAGATATGCCTTCATGTTTGATATGAATAATCAGGTCCCATCAAAATGACCTCGAGAGAGAGACAGACAGACAGACAGACAGACAGACAGACAGACAGACAGACAGACAGAGATAGACAGATAGACAGAGACAGACAGAGACAGACAGACAGACAGAGACAGACAGACAGACAGAGACAGACAGACAGACAGAGACAGACAGACAGACAGAGACAGACAGACAGACAGACAGACAGAGACAGACAGACAGACAGACAGAGACAGACAGAGACAGACAGACACAGACAGAGACAGACAGACAGACAGACAGACAGAGACAGACAGAGAGAGACAGACAGACAGAGACAGACAGACAGACAGACAGACAGACAGACAGAGACAGACAGAGAGACAGACAGACAGACAGACAGACAGACAGATATTCATAAGCAGCCCCACCTTAGCAGTTGTGTAGTCCACTACTTTCTTAGTCGTCAAGTCACACTTGTTGCCCACCAGAAGTTTATTGACATTTTCACTGGCATATCGGTCAATTTCCTGAAGCCACTGCTTGACATTGTTATAGGACTCCTGTGCAATGAGAATGAATATGAACAAAAAGCCGTCTCTACACATGAATACAAAGTATCTTCAAAAATCAGGGCATGACAGTGTTCAAATCTTCCTCCAAACCTTGAGGAGAACATAGTTAACACTTCTTCAGATAAAAGTAGCAAGTACTGGCAAATATTTATTTATTAATTAAATAGACCATAACTCCATAAAAATGCTCACTCACTTGGTCGGTCACATCATAAACAACTATGATGCCATGGGCTCCACGATAGTAACTGGAGGTGATAGTACGAAACCTCTCCTGGCCTGCAGTGTCCCACTGGAGGGACGAAGAGGAGCAAAGGGAGGATATATTAATATATTACAATTCTAACAAGCATATTATGATAGAAAAACAATTGTGTTTGTGAAAAATGAAACATTCATGAAGCTGTGTATAAGTTAACCTGCGCCGTCGTTGTTTTAAGTTTCTGTAGTCTGATTTCTGACAAAGGTAACATTTCTATAAAGTTGCCAGCAGACTGAATATTTCTGTTTTCCAGATGACTCTAGCCTTTTAATGACTTGGTAAATTAGAAAGCTTTGAGGAAACACATCTACCTTGAGTAGACACGCCTCAGGGCAGAGTCAAGAATACACTATACTGCCAAAAGTATTCACTCACCGATCCAAATCCCTGAACCCAGGTATTCCGATCACTTCCATAGCCACAGGTGTAAAACATCAAGCACCTAGACATGCAAACTGCTTCTACAAATGAGTCCCTGTCAGGGGTTAAAGCCAGCGTGATATTGCTATAGGCTGCCACCTGTGCAACAAGTACAGTCACCAAATTACCTTCATACTAAATATTCCAATAACAAAGTGGAAGCAATTGTGAAGGACAGCAACTCAGACGTGACGTGGTAGGCCATGTAGACACGTTCTGTTGGGTAACTTCTCCTGGGTTATTCTGATGGACATATCTGAGTTTGGCGGTTGCCAGGAGAAGAATACTTGTCTGACTTTCAAAGTGTAAAGCTTGTTGCAGGAGGTTTATGATGTAGGGCTGTTTTTCAGGAGTTGCCCAGTGGTTACAATGAAATCGTCCAATGCACATGTAGTATAAAAGGTTCAGCAAGGATTTGACCTGTCACTTCACGAACGATCAAAACAAACATCAGTTTGGACTTGAGGAAAAAGAGTTGTTGATTCTCACAAAGCAGGAGATGGATATGCAAAGTTATCACAGCATTTCCAAGTATCAGGAGCTGGAGTGATTAGTATCATGAAGCAGTCAGAGCAAAAACAGATTTGCATCATCGCTGTGTCTCCCAAAATGACAACGATCTAAAACATATTTCTCTAATAGTGAAAAACTACCTTCAGAAAACTAACAACAACTTTACTGACTGGCCTGCACAGAAGCCCTAACTTAAACTTAAAAATCAGTGGGGTTAACTGAGGATCGAGCTCCGATCAGAGGATTATAAAATCTGGAGGAACTTGAGCTGGGATAGCTGGGAGGGAGAGACATCGGTGTGACTCCAGGTTCACCAGTCATGGCGTCAGGTCTGCTGTGTAAATACAAATATAAACTATCGAACCCCATGTTCAGTCCACCAATTGTAACCAAGCAAACAATCCACTTTCTAAAAGCTGACATCTCACAGATTCCAGAATTGCAAGTTTTGTCACACTCTGGCCAAATTTCCCTCAACCAGCCGCAAAAGAAGACCATAAATGTGGTGCTCTGTGTGTACATGTGCCCTCACAATCTGCAATTTGATGGTCTTGCCATCCAGCTCGATGGTGCGAATCTTAAAGTCCACTCCAATGGTGCTGATGTAGCTCTCTGTGTAGGTGTCATCCTACAGAAAGAGGAGGGACAGCATGATTCAGGCCAGCAGCAAAACCAGTTAAAAACAGTCATTCAGTCCAACAGAAGTGAAAAACACCTTACAGTGAGGAGGTACTACTTACAGCAAAACGCAGTAGAAGACAAGACTTTCCTACACCAGAGTCTCCAATGAGCAGGAGCTTGAACAGATAGTCACTGAAATACAAAGAACAAGGCTGAAAATTTCTACTGCAATAAAAAACAAAAACAGTGGGAAACATTTTATAATACGACCCGACTAAGTGCAAAATCCCCCTTTAATTAAATGGAACCATTGTTCTTTTAATTTGAAGTAGGGATGCTGAAACAAATGTGTACCAAGTCACAACAAAAACAGAAATATACCATAATATACACAATATTACCTCATCTTACAACAATCAGACCTATGTGACTTTATAACAATGGACAATACAACTTTTTTTCCTTTTACAATTACTGTTCAAACACAACTGTCAAAAGGAGCATGCAGATAAACGTTAGCTAAGGTTAAGCTGATACGACTCGACCCCTGAAAAGTGCCGCGTTCTTCAAATCAGTGGGCGATATATCGAATAGACTCGATAAAGGTATGGCAAGTGTTTCCACAGACAATGGTTAAAATGGCTTTACTGAAACAAACCAGTATAAATTACCACGGCAACATTCACTTTTTTTCTTCCGCACACTGTGAATGCATCATTTATCGCCCCCTCCCAACTGGAGAATATTCTACCCGGCACACTGCAGTGAGCATGTGTGTTTGTATCCCACCAGACACGGAATAACAGCGCCAGGAGGAGCTTCAGGGGACGGTGAACAAAATGCAGTAATTTGCAAAACATGCTGTAAAACTATTGCTGCAAAAGGTAAAGTCGGAAAAGTCGAGCTGCAAAAGCACGAACGTTTTAAACGTCTCCCCACGCGCCAAAGAAAACGTTAAGCTGTGACAGCTGTGGCTGTTCGTGGTCAGTCATTTTCATAGCCACTATCTAGACTTTTGTTTCTGTAATTTGAGGGCATCACGTTTTTTTAAATTGTAAATATTTTATGTTCACAAAAAAGCATCTTTTTAATTTCAATGTTTTATTCTCATGAATTCTTTCTCGACTTACTTCTTTCTTGCTATGATCCTTTGTTTGTTAGGTCTATGATTGACCTCAGAGAGACGTGCTGTGACAGCATTGCCCTCTATGAAAAACCTCTGTGTGCAACTGATGGATTAAAAAAACATGGTTTAAATAAAACATTTCAGTTCATCAGATTTTTAGTATTCAAAGTAGAAAAACTATTAAATGGTTGGTTTAAAACGAGTATGCCAGCACTATTTTAGGCACTCTATGGTTGAAACATTTGTTTTTGGAGGTTATTCAAGCATAATGTGATATATACGGTTTAACTACAGCCAGCTTTAAGGCCTGTGCTGATTAATTGAGATAGTTTGATCATCCTTGAGACTGAAACGTCACTTAATGGCAGGACTTCTGTGAGCACTCCTGTAGAATCGGGATATAGAAGACAGGTTGATGCTTCGAGGAGGTAATTACTGAAGTTAACTCAGAAAGATGAATCACAGAATCATTACTAGTTAACGTTAAAGGGATGGTTGGCTCAACAGAGCTCTGACTGTTTGTCAGCCTGGCTACAGTGCTGAAGAGAAACCTGGGGTTGTTCTTATTTTCTTCAATCAGTGATGAATAGTAAGATGTTCTGGCTTTGC